ACATACATATAAATATATATATATACACACGCACATACATTTACATATACTATGAGTCTCATATAGAAATACACACAAATACAAATACATACACACATACACATGCACTTACCCGCACATAAATACATACAAACATACAAATAAACATACATGCATGCATGCACACACACACAATATACATACACACACATATACATACATACATTTTTAGCACTCGCACCCGATCGCCTGATACATACATACATACATACATACCTACATACATACCTACATACCTACATACCTACATACCTACATACATGCATACATACATACACACATACACACATACATACATACATATACATACAGACAGAGACAGACGGACGGACGGACGGACGGACAGACAGATAGACAGACATACATACAGACATACATGCATTAATACATTAGATTCATTAGATTCGTTACATTGCATTACACTACACTACACTACACTACACTACATTGCACATTACATACATTCCATACGTACGTACGTGCATACATACATACTGTACATCCCACATACATACTTGCATACAATACATGCGCACGTACATATATACGTACATACACACTCGCACGCACGTACACATACATGCATGCCATATGGCTCGTGCTGTGGGTCGTAAGCGGTCTGGGCCCTGAAGTAGAGTCTGGATCACATTAGATCCATTTCCGAGCAAGTTAGAAGCAGGTGCAAGGCACGGGCCTGTTGCCTATGCAACAACTATAGCAGAAAATGTGTGAATGCAAACACAGGCTGGCGGTTAAGAGAGCGCAGGAGAGCACACTCTGGGGCCTCGGAGCCCTCCAGACCGCGTGCTGCACTGGGCATCCACTATGTTTCTCTGCTTGAATGTATGCAGGCATAGGCATCCACTTATCTTGGACAAGGATCCCAACAGCAGCACCACCTCGCTGCTAATCTTCAGCGTCATCGCCTCGAGTATCTGCAGCAGGTGGTGAAACTCGCCAACTTGCTCCTGGCACTCGAAATTTTGGGAGAGGTTGAAAATCCTGGACTTTCCCGAGCCGTATACATATCCAACCTGCAAGGAATCTCGGAAACAGACTCCTGGAGCTAAGCTGGAATGCGGAAATCCTAGCGGAAGCAGCCTGGGTCTGCTGAAAAGCCCTGATAGTGACGCGCTATCGAGCCTTTCGGGATACCAGGAGAGTTGTCGAGAATTAATTTGGGGTATCTTTCGTATCGCACGAGGTCCCTGCAGTAAGCGATTCGTAAGTCTTTCGTTACGGTTCTGACCGGGGTACCTCGTGCTTGATTGTGGCTGCAGGCACTCGGGGTGCAGGTCTGACGAAGGTTTAGTGTGGGAACCTCGATCCCAAAAGCAGCGCGCGCACCACGACGGTAAGAGACTGAGGCCTAGCTGACATGACAGCTCTATTAATCTTGCACTGCCGGCCTTTTGCTACTTCAGGAATTTCGAGCATTGCTATTCCCGGCAAAGTTTGCGACGCACCCTCCAAGTTGAATGCTGGGCCTGCATGGCCTGCCTTAAGTCCCGATTTACGATTCTCTGGCAAATTGGGCAGTCTTGGTCCTGATTCGATCTTGCTGCGGTGAAATGGCAAGCGGTAACATGCACAGTAAGCTGTACGCATAAGCAATGTCAGACTGTCTCATGACTTTATATTATACTTGGGACCCAATGAGCCTTTCTATCTATGTCACAGGTGGCCGGGGCGCAGCTTGTCATCAGGCTGTGCAAAGAGATCCGACTGCCATACAGGACAGGAGTCCATATTGGCAAGCATAGTTACACTTCATGCCAAAGGGACGGTCGGGATCCACAAGGCCCGAAAAAACGAGTTTATGGTTAAACCGCAGGCATCTCCAAGTGCAAGGCCAGTCTACAAATGTGTACTCCAATCAACCCGACTATGTTTCGAAAAAACGGGATTGCGCAGTTGCTTTTTGAAGTGTCTTGACAGCTCGGGGACCAAAGCTCATGACCCGCCCAAAACTGCAGCGGAGTCGCCAGGCCGACATGCCACTGAGCTATGTGGGCATGGTTTATGGTTTCACTCTCCGCGACAGGGCCGATAGGGCCGTGTCGGGCTCGGGACAGGGATGCAACGAGGCAGCTAATCAGTTCGAGGCCAAGGCGCACATTGGCTCAGCACCAGACCATACCTTCAGGGCGGAGCCGGATATCTTAAGCGTTATTGTCGACCTCAGGGTGTCCGTGGGGAAAGACTGCGGTGAAGCGCCCGCCAACACACTAACGCAAGGGCCTGCAAAAACCACAAAGTTTCGATACCACAGCTGGGTTCAGACCTCTCCGAAACAGCAAGAATCTAAGAAGGAGTCACAGTTGCCATCCTCATCATGGAATCATCATCATCATCACCACCACCATTGTCTCTTCTCCGCAGGCGCGCGATCGCCAGCTGCAGCTGCACCATGGTCGTCATCATAAGAGTCATCATAAGCATCGTGCCAGGCAGTGGGCGATCCCTGCTCACCTGGCAGGCGGCTCCACAAATCCTCTCCAGTCTTGAACACCAGAAAGCTCTCGTTTAGGGGCCTTATTGTTGTCATGACCTCAAGGAATAGTGAATAGTCGCACTTATGATTTATAGGATCTTTTTATTCGGCAACCCTGGCAGCCGCTGCCGAAGCTGCACTTGGCAATCTCAATCAAGCAGGTGTGCTGATTACCTGTTGCCGGAGCGCCCATGCCAGTCTGTTGTTTGGACCAT